GGCGGCAACCCGCTGACTGGGCAGCTGAGCGCGGACTGGGTGCTGCCCGCCAGCTGCATGTATGTGCTGCTGCAGGGCACCAACCTGAGCGGCTCGGTGCCCGGCGGCTGGCGCCCGCCCGCCGCAGCCCAGGCCATCAACCTGTCTGGCAACCGCCTCAGCGGCACCATCCCGCCGGCCCTCACGCGACTCAGCGGCCTGCAGATCCTGGACCTGTCGGGCAACCTGCTGATGGGGCGCCTGCCGCCCGCCATGCTGTGCAACACGTCGCTAGAGTTTGTGGGGCTCAACGTGGTGGGCAACAGCCTGTCGGGTGCGCCTGCGGCCTGCGCGAGGGCCGGCGGGGAACCTGCAGCGGCAGCAGCGGCGCCACGGCGGCGCCGGCAGGCGTGCTGCTGCCAGGGGGAGGTCGGTGGCGGCGGGAGCAGCACCCTCGGTCCTCAGCCGGCCTACTCTGCACCATCATCGGATGGGCCGCTCTGCGCTGCTCTGCGGGGCCGCTGCCCTCGTGGCCCGCCATGACCACGTCCAACCTGGCCATCCAGCCGGGCAACGAGGGGCTGTGCGGCGAGGTGGGGCCACGGGGAGCCGGCCCTGGCAGGGCGGCAGCGGGCGGGATGCGCATGCGGCCACCCTTCCAGCTTCCCAGGCCCCTAAATCGGCATAGCTGACCGGCTCAGCGCCAATCCAAGCCAATTCCTTCGGGAACGCCTATTAGAATCGCCAAGGCTTCGGCACAGGCCTCCCCGGGACCCATTCACTACTAGTGGGGGGTACTGCACTTGGCGCGTCGGGCAGATCAAATAATGGTCTAAAGCTAGACGTTAAAACCGGGAAGTTAAGCCTGTGGAGGCTCTTCCCCACCTTTACCTTTACCTTTACCAGGGCCTCGCTCCTGCCCCGCTGTGCCGCGCAGGTGCCCACCCACCCCAGCGTGCAGGGCACCACGGCCGCTGCAGGCAACTATATAATCACGCAGCTGCCGCCGTGCGTGGATGGCGTTGCGGCGCCAGCCGGCCAGGCCCCCGCCCCCTCATCCGATGCGGGCGTCGGCACCAGCACCAGCGCCATTGTGGGCGCGGTGCTGGGCGCGGCGGCAGGCGTGGCACGTGCGTCCCTGCTGCTGCCGCCTTGACTCTGCCTGCAGCCCGGAGGCCAAGCCAGTGCCTGTGTGTCTGCGCTGGGTGCCTGGCGCTGCTGGTGCCGATGCGGCTGCCTCTGACACTGATTAGCTCTGCGGTCCCAGCAACACACGCATCAGCATGCCACTGGCCTGCCTTGCCGCTGGTGCAGTGCTGGCAGCGGGTGCTGTGTGGGTGGCGCGGAGGCGGCGGCGGAACCAGCAGACGGCTGGCATGCACATCAGCAAGGGCGGCGGCGCGGCGGAGGGCAAGCTGAGCTCCCTCTGCAGCGACCCTGAGAAGGGTTCGGGCATGAGCCCCGCCGCCTCAGCGCCGCCCCCCAGCATCATCGGCGCCCAGGCAAGCCGCGTGGCCGAGCATGCCTGCGTTGCAGGCGCGCCTGCGGGCGCCCTGCGCTGCCCTGCTCCTGTGTGCTCTGGTGCAGCAGGCAGCGCCCCAGCCGCCTGCCTGCGGCCACCTCCCGACTTCTGCCTTCCTGCTGCGTTGCTGTTCTGCCGCCGCAGGGCGCACTGTTCAACCCGTTTGCCGCGGGGCCGGCCCCCGGCTGGAACTCTAACAGCGGCTCGAGCCCACCGACCACCGACCCCGCCACCGGCGCCAGTGGCGGTACCCTGACCCTTCACGCCGCGGCCGTGCTGCTGCGCCGTGCGGGCGACCAGGCCAGCCCGCCACCCAACCCGAAGCTTCAGGCCAAGCTGGACCAGCTGGAGAAGGAGCTGCCCTCCTGGCTTATCTCCCCCTCCCGCCTGGAGCTGGAGCAGGGACCGGACGGCGACCTGGTGCTGCTGGGGCGCGGCGCCTACGGCCGCGTCTACCGCGGCTGGCTGCTGCCAGCGCAGCATCAGGGCAGCGAGGCGGCGATTGTTTAGGGTACCGCAGTGGTGTGCCTGGAGGGAGTGGTGCTCACGCCGCGGGTGGGTGGCTGGCGGGGCAGCAGGCAGCTGCAGAAGCACCGGGCGGCTGGCACTCTAGCCAGCAGCGTTGCCGTGCGGGCTGCAGGTGTCCCGACTTGCCGCCCCTCCAGGCGGCTCCTCGCTCGCCCGGGATTTTCGAGCCCCGCACCCGAGCCACTCGGCGGCACCTTTGCCGCTCTCCACCCCCCGCTGCCCCCTTCCCCTCCCTCCTCCTCCTCCTGCCGCTGCAGTCGCTGGCCATCTGCATGGAGTCCATGCCTGGGGGCACGCTGCTGCAGCACATCAAGGCCCGCGGGTGAGCCAGGCACGGCGAGCAGGGGCAGGCCTCGGGGGGCAGGGAGCGGCCGGCCTGCCATGCCACCGCCCACCGCTCACGGCTGCCGTGCACCGGCAGCACGGTGCAGCCCTGCCGCCAGGCATGGGCTCATCCCGCTGCCTGCCCTGCCCGCGGCCTGCAGGCGGCTCACCGAGCCCGAGGCGGGCTGGTTTTTCCAGCAGCTGGTGGTGGGGCTGTCGTATTGCCACGACATGGTGGGTGTGCAGGGTGCTTGTACTGCCGTGCCTGGCGTGCATGCAGCTTCCACGGGACTGCAGTGCATCATCACATGCCCAGTCACTGCATGCACTCCCCCTTGCGTGGCGCTTCGCACCGCATCGCCCGTGCTGCCGCACACCCGCCTGCCCATGCCAGGGCGTGGCCAACCGCGACCTCAAGCTGGAGAACCTGCTGCTGGACAGGCCGCCCGTGGCGGCCTCGCCCGAGTGCCCGGGCACCTGGCCGCTGCTCAAGATCTGCGACTTTGGTGCGTGGGCGGTGGGTGGGTGGGCGGGTGGCATGTTGGGGCATGGATTGGCTTGTTGGGAGGCGGCCGGTGGTGGGCGGGGAATGGCGGAACCACGAAGCTCGCCGCGACCTGCGGGCCGCCGCCGTACCGCTGCACCGCTGTGGGGCCGGGCCCCTACACGGGACAGGCGATGCCACCCGACGCTGCGCTGCCGCCGCCGCTATTCCCTGCCTGCAGGCTACTCGAAGCACGAGATGAACAGCACAGCCAAAACAAGTGGGGCTCCGCCGCCGCTGCCCCTGCCATCCCGCTCGGCCCTGCGCCCGGTGGCTGCGCGCCGGCGGCCTGGCCGTGCCGCCGACCGCCTTGCCGACGCCGCCTCCCCCTGTGCCTCGCCCGCAGGAGTGGGCACGCCGCTGTACATGGCCCCCGAAGTCATCGGCGGCAGCACCAAGTACAGTGCCAAGGCGGCAGACATATGGTGGGGCGGGGGCGCCGACGCCGCGACGCCCCTCGCGCTGCAGCGGTCGCATGCCTCGCATGCCCGTGTCGTCGCCTGCTCCCCTTGCAACCTGCCCGCTGCTGCTCGCCCCCCGTCGCCCCAGGTCCTGCGGTGTCATCCTCTACACCCTGCTGCTGGGCAGCTACCCATTTGACCCCACCTCCCGCGGCTGTGCCCTGGCCATCGTCAAGGGGCAGGCACGTGGCACGCGCGCCGCCAGCCGCTGCACGGACGGCTCGCCTGCCTGCTTGCCTGCCTGCCTGCTCCTCCCACCATCTCGCCTCGCGCACGTGTGTCGCCGCTGCTGCCATCCCGAGCCTGCCCTTCGCCCTCCCCCGCAACACACCCACCCACCACCTACCTGACCTTGCGCTTCCGCAGTGGTCCATCCCGGCCGGCTCTGGCGTCAGTGCCGAGGCCCAGCACCTGCTGGGGCGCATGATGGCCTTTGACCCGCTGCTGGTGGGTGGCGTGCCGTGCTGCACGCTGACGGGCGGGCTGTGCGCAGCAAGCGCCTGACCCACGCTTCGCCCACGGCGCGCAAGCCAGCCCAGCATGCGGCCAGCGCCTGCCTGCCCAGCAACGTTGCTCCCGCTGCCTCACCCCCCCATCACCCCCCCCCCACCCCCCCCCCCCTCCCACTGCAGCGCATCGACATGGGCGGCATTTTGTCGCACCCCTGGTTCCTGCGGGGCCTGCCCGAGGGGGCCGCAAGCATGAACACCGCCTACCTGGCCGCCGCACCCTACTGGGATCCGGTGAGCCGCCAGGGCATATCCCCCTGGCGGCTGCTGCGGAGCCGGAGCGGAGAGCGGCACCGGTGTCAGCATGCAGCAGCGCGGCAGGCGGCGTGCGCGCCTCCCCCCAGGCCAGGGAGCATTCCAGATGCCCTGCACCTTCCTCCACTCCACCACCCACCCTGTGCGCCTGTGGCCGCCACCCCCCTGCCGCAGCTGGTGCCTGTCATCACCGGCCTAGTGCAGGCGGCGCGGCAGGAGGGCCCTCTGGGGCAGCCGCCGCAGGTGGTGTCGTTTCAAACGAGCTGATGTGCTGGGTGGCGCACACGGCGGCGGCGGCGGCGGCATCGTGGCGGGCTGAGGCCCCGCCAGGTGCGCGGCTAAGCCGCGCATGAACCTACCAGCCGGTATCGAGTGAAAGTTGAGGGATGTTGCGCCTCTTGGTGAGCTGCCTGCGTTTGGGTGGCTGGGCCGGGAGGCTGCAGGATGCCGGGGCTGCTCTGGGCTGCTGCGTGCTCAGCAGGCTGTCGCCACAGCAAGCTGCAAATCACCGCCTCTCGTGAGCCGCCCCCCACGCTGCCATCTCTTTCAGCAGGCCAGCACGTCTGTACGAGCAGCATTGCTAAAGCTTGACGGCGGGCCCTGCAGCCGACCGCCAGCTTCCTACTGTAGCCAGCAGTAGCCAGCGGCGTCCAGTTGGGTGCTGACCCCAAGCAAGCGCAAGCCTGCAGCCTGCTAAGAGCCAGGTGTGTGCGGTGTGTGCCAGCAGCAACGTGCTGCGTGCCCACGTTGCTTTGCTCGCCGCTGCCTTGCGACTTGATGGCAGGCTGCCAGAGCAGTGATCGGCTGCGCGTCTGGTCGTGTGATGCAGGGTGTGTCTGGTTTCCCATCCCACGAGCCGACGCAGGCAGCGGCAGGCACCAGAGCAGCTGCCATTGGCGGCGGTACCTGCCAATGTGCTGCATGGCGAGGTGCCAGCTGCTGGTCCTGGCCATGTGGTGGCATGCATGTATGCAGTGAGGCTTGCAGCCAGTCGCTCTAATCGGTCGACCGACAATTCACAGCACCCGTGATTTGGCTGTAATCATTCAACCTTTGCTTCACGGAGAATGAAGTTCAAAATGGGGCGCGCCATGCTAGTAGTACCGCCGGTGGAAGGCGGTGCGCCCTGAAAGCCCAGGAAGTGCGGTTCTGGCATCCCCCAGCAGCCAGCCGCCGCGTTCAGCCTCGCATGAAACAGACACCCTAAAACAAAACGCTGCTGCTGCACTCGGCGCTGCCCGCCCTCAGCCGCAGAACATGCCCAGGCGGTTGGCGGGGTCCCAGCGCCGCTTCAGCTCCAGCACGCGCCGCGCGTTGCTCCCAAAATAGATGGCCGCCAGCTGGGCGGTGGTGGCGGGGCCCCTGGCGTGCTTGGTGGCGCGGATGCCGCAGTCCAGGAAGTTGTAGAAGGCGGCGCGGCGGATGGGGGCCAGCGCCTGGGACGTGGTGCGCACCCACTCTGCATGCTTGTGTGGGCTTAAAGTCTGGTAAAGCAAGAACTAGCTTGCAACATAGACTCCCCGCCGAAACGGGACGGGAACCGGGCGAAAGCAGAGAAAGCAATAAAACAGGGGTGGAGCAAGGCGACATGCAACGCAAGCAGCTGACAGGGCACGCATCGAAACGTGTGTATGACTGGCAAAGTGGCATGGCGCATTGGGGAGAAACGCAACGGTACGGGAGCATGGGCTGGCCAAACGGCAGTGCGGAACGCTAGGTCACTAGAAAAGCAGGGAAAGGCGCACTATGTATGCAATGAGGGCAGCCCCGGCTCGGGGCCGTTGAGAAAGCAGTGGGCGGGAGGGGGGAGGCCCCGGTGTGGGCGGGCCCCATCGAGGGGGGATGGGGCGCGCAAGCGGCCAGATGGGGCGGGGCGCGGGCGGCAGTGGAGTCCTGCGGCTGGGTGGGATATAGGGCAATGAGCGTTGAGCAGTGTGCGATGAGCAATGAGCAATGAGCAGTGAGCAGCCCCTCCCTAAACAAAGTGAAGCGCAGGACGGGGTCCGGTGGATGGGAGGCAAGGAAACGCGGGGGGTTGCCACGTGCGCTACCGCCGCCGCCGCAGGCAGCACCCCTGCGGCGGCGGCAGCGGCAGCAAGCCGTGGACCCAAACGCCGTGCCGCCGAGTCCCGTGGCAGCTGAAGCCCCCCCCCCCCCCCTCTAGTACGCTAGTACGCCATCTCCCCCTGCCTCTCCTCACCTCCAGGTTGCCATGCTTGGCGGCACAGCGCACGAAACTGTTCAGGCGCTGCTCCAGGGTGAGCATCCTGGCCGCCTGGGCAGGGGCCGCCACGAGGGCGAGCAGCAGGGCGGCCGCAAGGAGGGCGCGCGGTGGCGGTGGCGGGGCGGCGGCCGTGCCTCTGGGCATGGCGTAGGGGCTGTCGCCAGTTGCAACTCCTTCAGCAGTTGCCAGATCGCTCTCTGGCCGGCAGGTTAGCCTTCCAGGCGGGCTTTGGGCGAAATGGCCGCTCGGTGGTCGGAGCGTGCGTGCTTAAAGGCGCTGCAACGCTGCCGAAAGCCGGTGGCAGCGTGAATGGACGCAGCAGAGAACAATTGAGGCTTTGTTTGGCTGCTCCGGCCCAGCCGGATACCAGCAGGTGTCGGAGCTGGCTGGACGGGGAGCGCTCCCCGTCCAGTATATTTCCGCCACCAAACAGCACCATCGATCGTGGTACATAGTTTGCGATGTATGTGGCGCGTACAAACATGGGCTGCCGCTGCCAGGCGTGTGGGAAGCCACCGCCACACACCGACGGTCTGCGGCGGCGGCTGCTGCTTGTGCCCTCATTGTGCTGGCAGAGACGGGGCAGCTGCCGCTGCCCGCCTACTGGACCTTGCAGGTTGCACGCTTTGTGAGCAACCTGCAGGCTATGGGCGGCGAGCGGGTCGCCCGTCTTGCCATGCTGGATAGCGTTGCGCTGGCTGCCGACACGGACACAGGGCTGCCACTGGCCCGGCAGCCCTGGGCAGCGCAGGTTAGCCGCGTTCTCGCGGCGGCCGGCGCCCCCTGCGACTTGACTGCTGACGAGGGGGTTGCCATACCTGAATTGGCGGAAGCGCTCCTGGAGCGCCATGTTGCCTCGTACACGCATGCATCCGTGAAGGTGCAGCGGTACATTGAGGACGTGTGGGGGGGCAGCATCTCTGCGGAGGCCTACACGCCTGCGTCGTTCCTGTGCGATGTGCCCGAGCGCCGGCGCCGGGTGCGCCTGGCGCAGTGGCGCACGGGGTCGCACTGGATGGCTGAGGAGACAGGCCGGTGGCAGCGGCTGGACCGCACCCAGCGCCCATGCCCCCACTGCCAGGCCCCTCTAGAGGACGTACGCCACGCAGTGTATGACTGCTCTCCTATACGCTGGGCTGAGGGAGGAGTATGCTGAGCTCTTTCCAC